ACCTTTTTCAAGTTTTAGTTTTTTAATGTTGATGCCATTTAGGCAACTATTTATTGTATAACGGTGCTTTACCTTAACAAATAGTTTACTTACGCCTTAACTAACCAATTAGACCCTCGATGTTGCTTCCAAATACCTAGACTTTGCCCTATATAATGCTACTTCCGAACAAAGAGAGAACAGGATTCAGCTATGTCTTGATATAAGGACGGTAGGATAAGTGTGGCATATTTTTAGGAAAATTTTTAAATTTATACAATTTTCCTTTTATCTAACAAATTCTTTACAAATTTTATTCCATTTCTCTTAAAAGCTTTACGTAAGCTTTTCTTATGTTTTTCTTAAGAAACTATAACTAGAATATATTCATTTTAAAAAGGCAAATTTCCGCACAAATTCTGCTGTGATTACCCTGTATTTATAAAATATTGAATTTTAAGTGAGATGGGAATTAAGTTAAGCATGCTAAAAACAAACAAAGATATTTCAAGGACTATAAACAATATAAGGATTTATGGGAGAATAAACAATAGCAAAATACATACAAAATAAACACTTGCATATATTTATATACAGATACATATGTATGTATATTCATATAAGTTTAAGCCAGCAGTCAATATCTTTCCATACTTCCTGTCATGGTTACATAGTTTTAATATTTTTTATACATACATATTTTTTAATAAATTTATTTTATACTCATAAAGTAAAGTTTGTCAACTATAAAGATTAATTTTAGTCGATAACACTGCTACTTATTTAAGGATAAATATATTCATATTTTCATAAATACATACATATATATGTATGTATATCCTCATATATAAATCAATTTAGTTAAAGAGTCTAGGGGTTTAACATAAAATTAACTTTTGTTTGTAAGAATTATGTGGCTGCTATTTATGTACATATATCCTTATAAAGGATATACATATGAATGTAAAATTATAATATTTATTGAATGTATTGAAAAACCTCTAAAAGCATAAATATGTTTTATATATTACTACATAGTTGACCACACAATCAAATATATCTTTCGATTATATAGAGGAGTCTCATCCACTTGCAAATGCATTTATCACATATTTTCTACTATAGATTCATTTGTGTGTAGCAACAAGTTCATTTGTGGTTAAAATTGTATTTAACCTCATTTCTAATACATTATGCCGGGCTTGTAATATGAGTTATAATTAAAAACATACATATTACTTAAATTAGTTTTATAAAAAAAAGTTGGATTTTGATTAAATGTAATGGGTAAATTTATTTATATTTTTTTAATTTATCTGAAAATCATTTTATTTGAAATATTTTATTATAACATAATATTCATTTAATTTAAGAACATTTTTATCTTTATGTTGCTTTCACATAATTGTCAATTGTTGGTCTCCAAGTTTTCTTTCCTTATAATCATTATTTCTAAGTTTTGTGACAGCTATTTTTATGCCATTTACATTTATAAACTGTCAAAAAATTTCATGTCTATATTATCAAAGAAGAAAAAAAAACTTTTTCTTAAAACTACCACTTTATTTTATATTTCTTGCACCAACTTCTTTGTAGTTTTTTTTCCTTCCCTCCATATTTATTTTAAAACTAAAGGAAATACTTTTTTTATTTTTTCTACAACTTTATAGCTTTCTTTTAGACGCATCTACATAGAGTTTATTTTTCTATAAAGTGACAAAGTGAAAAGTTTTTCCTTGATTTCTTTTAGTGTCCTGTTTTTTTCTTTTTGCTCTTCCTCTACCAAATAAAGTCAAGAAAAAGTGAAAAAGAAACTAACTTGCTGTAGGGTGTTTTATAAAATATAATGATCTTGGTTGTTGGGATGTGATTGTTCGATTTCGTTTTTTTATTTTCTAAATAAAATATTGATTTTTTGGGGAAAATATATATGTCTTTTTTGTTGCTGCTGCAACTGTTCGTTATCAAAAGCATATGTTGTAGATAAAGTTAAACATGAAAGTGTTGGTTATAACTTTGTTTGTAAGAAGACAACAAAGTTTCTTTTTGCAAAATAAATTTGTCGTCTTTTTTTATTTTGATTTTATATGCATATTCTTTGTGGTCAAATAGTTGCCAAACGAATCAACCAGATATGTATATATATGCAGACAAATAAAGTATTGTGTTATAAATATGCATATTGTATATGTTATATTTGTTTAACACTCTGTAGAAAAAAAATATTTTAAATGTTAAAAAAAATATATAGAGTTGCAATAAATTGTGTTTTTTTAAAGGTACAACGATGACTACATTACAAACGAATCAGTTGCATACAATACAGGTTCCTTATGACGGTCTGACTAGATTTGATAGAAAGCACTTTTTTGAACTAATTAAATACAATAACCTTACTATCACGAATATTTGACTTTGGTGTCGATTCGAGGCTTGACTAGACTGAATAATAGTGTTTTCAGGGGCTTTTGAAAGGCTAAAATGTTTAATGATACCCTACACCAATGAGTATTTTAAAAATGTGGATTATTTTTCTAATAATAAATCATTTTGTTAGGGGGAGGGGAGGGAGTGTATAAGGCAAATATGGTCCTATTCGTATAAATTTTGGTAGAGCCATTTACGATGACAGTAAAGTTATTTATGCAGAATTTAAAAGTGATACTAGTGTTTAAAAGTGAATTTCAAGTCGTTTTCTGAAGGGGACTTTGTATGGGGGCTAGGTTCAAATGAGACCCTATTACAGACAATTACGAATATCGGCTGTATCGATTTTTGTAGAGATTCTACAACATTTAACGTAATTATAAGATCAAAAGCCCTATTCGGGGGGTACGGTTGTATGAGGGCTGGGCGTAATATTAGACCGATTTCAAACATTTTCAATAAGCTTAGTCCATGGATCAAAAGTGTTAAGAGTATGTGCCAAATTTCATCAAATTATTTTGAAAATTGCGACCTGTAGCGTGCGCACAAGGTTTATATGGACACACAGACGGACGGACAGACGAACATTGCTTAATTGACTCAGAAAGTGATTCTGAGCCAATTGGTATACTTTAATGTGAGTGTAGAACCAATATTTTTGGGTATTACAAACATCAGCACAAACGCATAATACCCTCGCCAAATTGCAACCTGTAGCGTACGCACAAGGTTTACATGGACCCACAGACGGACAGACAGACAGACAGACAGACAGACAGATAGACAGACAGACGGACATAGCTCAATTGACTCAGATCCAATTGGTATATTTTAAGGAGGATGTAGGACCAATATTTTTGGGTGTTACAAACATCAGCATAAACTCATGCAGTATCATTTAGACTTTTATAAGACTAAGTTTTGCCGATTTTTTGCAGATACTGGAATATTTAACATAATTATCAGCTCAAAAGCCCTATACGTGAAGTACATTTGTATGGGAGCTAGGCGAAATTATATACCGATTTTAAATATTTTTAATAAGCTCTAACCCTGGGTTAAAAGAAGTTTATATGCCAAATTTCTTCAAATTATCTTGAAAATTTCGTTGTGTAGCATGCGCACAAGCTTTACATGGACACACAGACAGACGGACGGACATAGCTAAATCGACTCAGAAAGCGGTTTTGAGCCGATAGGCATACTTTAATATGAGTGTAGAAAAACTATTTTTGGGTGTTACAAACATCAGCAAAAACGCATAATATCCTAATAACATAATAGCCACTATAGTGGTGTAAGGTATAATTATAGTCGGGCATTCCCGAAAATAAACCAATGATTTTTTGGGGGCGAATCCGGCTGATCTTAAAAGGTTGAAATTTAAAATGTTCGATAACTTCTTAGAACTTTTGGTCTTTTCGGGTTCCTTTCAAAGTCCAATTAGCTCACGATCAACATATACTTAAGTAGTCATAAGGACACGTAACTGTGTCTATATTTTACGTATACATATTTACGTAGCCACACCAAAACCAAACTTTACAATTCAACTACTATCATAATTAATATTCATATTGAAAAAGTATGCATATTCATTCAACATATAGTTTTTGCAATTCCTTTTATTACTCGGCTTCCAAACAAAGTTTGTCAATGGTTTTTTTTTGTAGTTTGTTTGTCATATACAAAATTGATAACAAATATTTAAAGCCTTGCAACTGCAAGTTTGTAGTAAAAGTTCATTATGGCTTAATTGTGACTTTATGGAGAAAAACCAAGTTTTCTATAGAAAAGCAAACAAACAGGCATACATAAAAATGTCAGGGTTTTTATATGTTATTTTTCAAATTTACATTTAAAAGATACAAAAACATAAATGTAAATTATTTACACAGCACGAGGTCAGACTCAAAAGGAGTTTTATAATAGAAAACTTAAATTCGCTTCCTGGTTATACAAAAGCTATTTTGTTAAATTAAAGTGTTTTAAAAACTTTTCTTTCAAACCCCTGATATTTCTTTCCGTAAACTCGATATATGTACAGAAATAACTATTGAATATAAAGAAAATTTACACTTGATTTGTGTATTGAAAGATAACAAGTATTTAGACGAGCAAAAAGAAAATGAAGTTATAAGAAAATAAAGTTTCATATAAATATTTACATATGAAATAAACATAGGAGTTTTTGCAATAGAAAAGAAAATAATACAAATATGTATGTATATCTTTAGTTATAGCTTTTTGTTTATTTTATTTTACTTACAACTTTTATGCAAATAGTAATTAATTTTATTTTCATAAAACTCAAAAAAACCTTAAATATTTTCCATTTCATTTCAATTTAAAGTTTTTATTTATATGGTAAAGGGGGGAGTTTATTTCAAATGTAGGTCACAAAGATCATAAATGTTCAAACATAAATTTATGTAATTAAGGTGTTTATAATATTTATTATGCATAATTATTATCGTATTCAATGTGGGTTTTTATGTTTTGCATAACATTTAATTGCAACAAAAAGTTTTAACATACTACACTATTACATTTAAAATATACAAATTTGAAAGAATAATATTTGCTTAACTTACCACACTTCATTTGTTCTTCCTCCTCGACGGCACGCAAAACTGCCGAATTGGCCAAGTTAAGGGGACGGGCAATTTGATCATCGATTTCAATCCTGTAAGAGAAATAATAGAAAAAAAATTATAAAGTTTTATTTTTATATGTGGGTTATATGGGGGCTATAAGAAATAATGAACCGATTTTAAACATTTTCAATAGACTTCATCCTTGGGTCAAAAGAAGAGTATGTGCCAAATTTCATCAAATTATTTTGAAAATTACGACCTATAAAGTGCGCACAAGGTTTACGGACAGACAGACGGACATAGCTAAATCAACACAGAAAGTGACCCAATTGGTGGATGTAGGACCAATATTTTTGGGTGTTACAAACATCAGCACAAACGCATAATACTCTCTCCACTATAGTGGTGTAGGTTATAAAAACTTCATCTTCATGATCAAAATCAAGTTGTTCTATAAATTATGCGTATACTTAATATTTGTAATATTAATAAATCATTAACACGTATACGTACTGGTGTCGTTAATAAAAGCTATGTAAGTTCACAATTCGAGGGAAATAATTCTGTAACTTCTAAACGGTTTATCCGATTCAAATCGAATTTCACACGGGTTAAGAGGAAGGGTTCTTGAGTTTAAGTGTCTAATTTGGCCCTTATAAGTCAACCAGGGGCATGGTCAGCTGTCCGCAAATTAGGACACCTCGGGTATGTTAAATTTTTTATTCTATTTCTTCGTTTCGCTTAACAACAAATTTATATATTAAACAGTGAAAGAATTGCTTAAAAATCATCATTTAGACATGTAAGAATTTATAGTCGGACATGGTCGACCATATGATATCCTACACCAGTGATTATGTTACTAATTTTGATTGTTTTTTTTTTTTAATAATAAAGTATTTGACTTCATTTTTATCTCAATTCAGAAACATTTTAATAATTTGTCGACAAAAAGGGGTTTTTTTAAAGTAGGGCTTATATGTTGACAGGGGCTTCACATGGTCCTATCTGCAGAGTGTAGGGTGTAGGACCAATATTTTTGGGTGATACAAACATCAGCACAAACGCATAATACCCTCCCCACTATAGTGGTGTAGGGTATAAAAACTTCATTTCAAAGCTCAAAATCAAGTGCTTCTATAGATTAGGCGTATACTTAATATTTGTAATATCAATAAATCATTAACACGTATACGTACTGGTGTCGTTAATAAAAGCAATGTAACTTCTCAATGCACAGTGGTATGGATATAACTTCTAAACGGTTTACCCGACTTAAATGAAATTTCATACGCATTAAGAGGAAGTGTTGACGAGTTTATGTTATGTAATTTGGCCTTTATAAGTTCACCAGGGGCGTAGTCAGCGTTCAACAAAGTAGGACACCTCGGATATGTTAAATTTTTAAAACTCTTAGGAGATATTTATATTTTCATACACTGGACACCCTAATGACACCCTAGCACAAGGCAGATGTATGTATTTTCGAAAACAAAAAAAGTTCTTTTGACTTTAAAAATTTAAAAACCATTTTAACTTTACTAAACCACATACATATTTGCAATCACAAATGAGCAGTGAACATTTAATGTATATGTATGTGTAAGTGTGACTTTTTAAACCCTGTTAATTATTTGTTTTACATTAATTGTTTAAACAATTATGGTAAAATACATAAATTTAAATGTTATTTAATGAAACTGCATTCATTTGGAACGATGTAAAAAAAATATACTTTATGGTTTAAGTAATGTTTCGCTAAAATGTTTGTTGGTTATTTTTTTATTATTATTATTATTGTATAATTTTGTACAATTCTTTTGTTCATTTTGTATTTATTTAAATGGGATAAAATAAATGCTCAACAATAATTAATTGTCATCGATATGAAATAAAAAACAAGGCAGAAGAACGAGAAAAAAATATATATATATTTCAGCTCAATTAATACATTTTGACATTCATAAATGATTGCATTTAAATGTAGTTAACCGTTATGAAACGTATATAGTAGTATATATTTATGCATATGTATGAGGGAAAAGAAAATATTAGGGTGGTGCACATTAAGGAGAATAATACAGGGTTTGGAAAAGAAAAAGACTTAGAAAACCTTAATCCCTGTTATAAAATCAGTATAAATCAAACTTTCTATCTGTAGATGCCAAAACTTTCTTAAGCCTCCCTAATTTATTGTTATATAAATTTTTAAATAAAACAAACATGAACATATGTATGTTTTATATGTTCGTATGTACATATATATATGTGAACATCCTGGTCTCTTTCACTAGTTCGTATACTGCGCTATATGTCCCTGATTTATTTGATTTTTTTCTGATTTTTCTGTTGTTGTTGTTGGTTGCTAAACTTTATATTTGTATTGGTTCAAAGGCTATAAGGAAAAACAAATCAAAAAATAATTATATTTTTAATGAATTTATAATTGACTAAGCAATTTGTTTAAAATTTCTGTGCGATAATTATCGATTTGATTTATTTCAAAATGATGAGTTTATGCAAAACAAATGTTGCGGTATGTTGGTTGTTGTACATTTTGTGGTTTCCTGTTAGAACACACATACTATATACACACAAAAAGTATTAAATAATAATTGTTATAACAACAATTAAAATTATTATTACAATTTTATTGAAATTAACTAAAAGCATACAAATAAAATTTACTTATATTCCCATATTTATGTCAACAATTGACCTTATATTTCGAGCCAAGGCAACACTAATGAAAATATAAAAAAATAAAATAACTCTGGTATTCATAAAGTATAATAAAATTATTAATTGTTTATAACAGGCATTTCATATAGAAAAAGTTCATAACAAACCATTGATAACTTCATGAATACCCCGGGAAAAAATTGTTCCCAGAAAATTAATAAAACCTTATAGATGGCAAACAGAAAAAAAAAGAAAATACCTTTTTCAAGTGGTCATTCATAAAGTGAAGTCTCTTCGCTCGTCCACTTTTATTATTTTAATTGAAATGAAAAATAATGAAGCGTTTTATAGAGAGAAAGTAAAACAGTAAAAAAAAGATTCGTTAAAATTTTCTTTTTTTGCGTTTTTTCCTTTAACATCACATGCATACAAATGTCAATATACAACTATAACAGCTTCTCCTTGCAATATCCGTTTAAAAAAGAATACTTGTAAAAGAGAATTTATGGTATGTTGGTCTTGATGGTAGCCTTTAAGAAGAAGGGAACAAATTAAGGCACCATTCTTTTAATGGAAACGAATATGTCAGAGTTTTAATTGAAAAAAACATGACATCCTAAAATTGTTTTTCTATTTGAAGCAAAATATTGAATGTTTCCTTCCAATAGATTACTTCTGATGGTATAAAGTGTTTCCTATCTAGATTATTCGAAACAGTAGATAAATCCGAAATAGTTAAAAGAACATTTAACAAAAAGAGTATTTTTTAGCTTTAAAAGTACTAGATTACAGTTCGGCTTTTTTCTATCTACTGACTAGTCTACAAACTCATTATTATTACTCTTGACTAGTGTATGAAATAGTATATTGTCAAGTCTTTGGAGTAGACTAAAATGGACTAGTCTATTGACTATAGACTAGTTTTTTGACTGGTCTATGGATTAGTTCATTAACTAGATTATTAACAAGTCTATGGACTAGCCTATTGAGTCCATTGACTATCCTATGGTCTATTCTATCGACTGGTCTCTGGACTATTCTCTAGATTGATGAATACTCTGGTAAATTGCTTCTTCTATTGACTATTGTATGCAATAGCCCACTGACTATTCTAGGGACTAATCTTTTGACTATTTTAGGATCAAGTCTTTTGACTATTCTAGAAACTAGTCTTCTGACTATTCTATGGAATAGTTTCATGACTGGTCTATGGACTAACCTAAACCCTAGAATATTGGCTAACCTCTGAACCAGTCTATTGACTAGTCTTTGGACCATTCTACTGATTGACAAGTTTGTTATTTACTAGTGTGCATCCTATTTTATTGACTACTTAAAGCAGTATATGGTCTGGACTATAGAACAGTATATGGTCTGGACCATAAAGCAATCTATAGTCTGGATAATAGAAAATTATATGGTTTGGATCATAGAACAGTCTATAATCTAGACTATAGAGAATCTATATCTATAATCTAGACTATAGAGACTGGACTGGAGAGCAGTCTATAGTCTGGACTGTAGAGCAGTCTAAAGTTTGGACTATAGAGTAGTCTATAGTAGGGACTATAGAGTAATCTATAGTCTGCACTATAGAGTAATCTATAGTCTGGACTATAGAGTAATCTATAGTCTGCACTATAGAGTAATCTATAGTCTGGACTATAGAGTAATCTATGGTCTGGACTATAGAGTAATCTATAGTCTGGACTATAGAGTAATCTATAGTCTGGACTATAGAGTAATCTATTGTCTGGACTATAGAGTAATCTATAGTCTGGACTATAGAGTAATCTATAGTCTGGACTATAGAGTAATCTATAGTCTGGACTATAGAGTAATCTATAGTCTGGACTATAGAGTAATCTATAGTCTGGACTATAGAGTAATCTATAGTCTGGACTATAGAGTAATCTATAGTCTGGACTATAGAGTAATCTATAGTCTGGACTATAGAGCAGTCTATAGTCTGGACTATACAGCAATCTATTTTCTGAACAATAGAACTATAGAACATTCTATAGACTGGACTATAGAGCAATCTATAGTCTGGACTATAGAGCAATCTATAGTCTGGACTATAGAGCAATCTATAGTCTGGACTATAGAGCAATCTATAGTCTGGGCTATAGAGCAATCTATAGTCTGGGCTATAGAGCAGTTTATAATTTGGACTATAGAGAAGTCTATAGTCTGGACCATAGAACAGTCTATAGCCTGTGATATAAAGCAATCCATAGTCTGGGCTGTAGAGCAGTGTATAGTTTGGGCTATATAGCAGTATATACATACTGGATTAAGGAGCATGCTATATTCGGGATAACGTTATCTATGCGACTAAAATACCTGCTGCTATAAAGTTGATGTGAAAAATATGCTAAAATTTATAGATTCTGTGTCAAGTAATAGTGTCCATTATACCAACAAATGCACTGTTATGCTGTTATTACTCTGGAAATGAAAATTTTTCACAAATTAGAAAACTATTTTTAATAAAACTATTGGCATAATAGCTACTAAAATTTTATGTTGAAATTGCAAACAGAAGTCACTGCTAGACATCCGTGTACATCTTCCATCTCCAACGAACGAATGGACAAACTTTAAATTAACAATTCAACTACTTAACATTAATTGCAATATCCTGCTATCTGTATAGACCAAAGTATGTATATGTGTCGCTATTTTCCAACGATATCGATCAACAACTTTTGGAACGAGTATTTATGGAATAATTTTGGTAAATACCTTTCCATTGCAACCAAACGTGGTAACCAATATTTCATTAAACCTAAAAAAAACGTGAAACAAAAATTCCCTTAACTACTCTCTATGTATGTAGAAATATTCTTGTATCCTTTGGAATGCTCTCTCTTTCTACACATGTATAACAACCACTAACTTTTGGTTGGTACTCGTACTTATGTGATGTATTGACAGTGAACACTTTAGCCTCGTACATCCGCCGAAACAAAAAAAAAAAAAAATGATGGCGAATGTGTTTGTGTGTTGAAGTTGGTAAGTATGTTGCTTGCACCATACAAAAATCAATTGAGTAAATCAAGTTAAGCACTGCACCACATCATGCATTGGCGCCCATTTGTGTTTATGTATGGGTAAGTGGAAGTGTGTATGAATAAAAGTGCATCATCTCATACATGGATGGTGTGGTTTATAGTTCCCGTAAGCGATGTTATCCTAGAAATGGATTTATATCACATTTTTTTCCATGCTGTTGCCATAGTAAGAGTGTATATAGCAGTTGTTGCACTTTGTGTTTGTTGCATGTTTTATGTGTGTTGCTTTGTTTTTTTTTTGCATTTTTATTTCTGCTTTTGTTTCATCTTATTTATTACAAGTGTTTTTAAGTTGTTACGTACCAAAGGAGTTGGTTGAAAAAATAAAACCTACATATAACAAAATTCACGTATGCAGAAAAGTGTGTAAATATTTTTAACATCTACCACATATTAAAATAAAAAAATTAAAAGAAAAAATGTTGGTATAAGGCAAAAAAGAAACAAATTGAAGGGAAAGTAAAATGTGTATGTATTAAAAACATATCTACTACATATATAAAACTAATTTAAACATACCAGAAAAATGAATTGCAAGTGCCCACCACTTAATGTAAATCCCATGATGTTGCGAAATACCACACTCACTCATCAGCAGCAGTAGCAAGCAACATCAGCCAGTATTTGACATAAAATGTATAAGTTAACGTTAAAATTTATGTTCAGTATTTTGATCATATGTTTTCATACTTTTTGGTTGGCGTAGCTTTTTATGTGCCTTACACATCAAATTCACATTTCTTTGGGAAATAAGTCTGTAACTGTGACTATATACAAGACTATAGACCAAACAATATACAAATCTATTAACAAGTTTGTAGTCCAGACGATATACAAGTCTTAAATCCGCATTATAGACTACTTTATAGTCTGGACAATGGATAGGCCGGTAGTCGAAGGTACTTATATATTTATTAGTTAAGATTATTGACTAATCTGTATTCTAGCATATAGACGTTTCTGTAGTTCAGTCAATAGAAGAGCCGGCTTTTCAGTTGTTGGACGAATTTGCTGTTCAGACTATAAATAACTATGATAACTGTGTCTAGACTATAGATAACCCTATAGTCCAAACTAATACAGGTTTGTAGTCAGACTATGGAGAAGTTCGTAGTCAAGTGTATATAGGAGTCTGTAGTCCAGTCAGAGTCCATAGTCCAAACGAGGAGATCAGTCAACTATAGATGAATCTATAGTTCAGACAATAAAGGATTGGGTAGTTCAGAATTTATAGAAGTCTGAAGTTCATATTATAGACGCGTCTAAGTCCAGTTTGAATCCATAGTCAAATGTGTAGACCAGTCAATTATTTATATTACAGACTAGCATCCAGATTATAGACGAGTACATAGATTAGTACCCAAAATGGACTAGTCCATAGTCCAGAGTGTACGTCCAGAATGTAGGCTGCTATCCTGAAGAGTCCAGCTATAAACAATTGCCCAGTTCTGGCTATTACGAGTCTATAATCTACACTATAGACGACTATATTTTCCATGTTTGTTTTTCCTCATTTTAGTATAAATCGACTTTAGTATTTCAACTTCTTCTACTTCAGTACACACTATAACTTTAACATAATTTTCTGGAAAATTTATAACTATATACTACTAGTTATATAAAATTGTAAATGTATCTTCAATGCAACAAGCAGTAGACTATTATTATATAAAACTACATCTCTCTGACTTTGTATAATAATTTCTTCAACTATACGTCCAAACGTCCGTCCATCTGCCTGTCTGTCTGTCTATCCGCATGCATGTGTTTTGTCACACTGACAAACATATTTCTTTTTTTTATTCATTCCGTCTGTCTTGTTTTTGCTTGCTAGTCTGTCTTTCTTTTGAATTCGGAGTAAAATCTGTAAAATATAAAACGTAGGGTTTTAAAATAAACGAATTTACTTTGTGCATAAATTACCATATTAAACGTGTTTAACGTTGGCTGATTTTATGCACCCATTTTTTTTTGGTTGTGTTTCTGGAAGGACATTTCCTCTTTATATTATTTTTGCATTTTTTTTCTTTTAAGCAACTTTTAGTTTCGGGTTTTAATGTGCAGAAGTGCACGATGATTTCTTATAGTTATAGTTAGTTCTTTTGGATTTAAGTTGCACACTTTTATAGGTATAATAATGATACTTATGTATATCCCCTTGTCCTATATACACGCTACAAATTATTGTCAAAAATTTCAAAATTTAAAAGAAAATATGTAAATAGGGTTTAAATTTTAATGTTAATTTTATGAGTAGTCGCACATTTCTATACCAAATTATGCAAAAGCTTATTATCTAAATTGACCTTTTAAGCAACAATATCGAAATTGTCATCTTTTCGCTGAGTGCCTTTTAATTTTAAACGGTAATACATCATTCTATCAACATAACATTTACTATTTGCATGACATCATATAAGTATTGATAGTCCAAAACTGTAAATGGCTTCGGAATACATAATGAAGCACTTAGCATTAAGCAAATTTTTCATTTTATTAATTATTCTCTCTATTAGAAGTAAATCATAATAAGGTTTACACTTTATAACACTCACAGTTCATTTGACAGGTGTTAAAGTTAAACATTTTACATTAAATTATGTTGATTTTAAGTGCTACGTTGACTTTACCAATATGATTTTAATTATTATTTTTTGGGTATTTTTTAAGTTACTAAGAATTTAAGATGTATTTGTGTGATATCAGAAAAATTAAGTATTTTTATGTGAAAGTTTTGTATGAGGTTGCTAACAGAAGATTGATTTTGTCTATACTATAGATGTGTCTGTAATCCAAACTATAGATATATCCATAATCCAGCCTATAGATGTGTCTATAGTCCAGCCTATAGATGTGTCTATAGTCCTGGCTATAGATGTGTCTATAGTCCTGGCTATAGATGTGTCTATAGTCCAGACTATAAATGTGTCTATAGTCGAAACTATAGATGTGTACAAAATCCAGACTATAGATGTGTCTATAGTCCAGACTATAGATGTGTCTATAGTCCAGACTTTAGATGTATCTATAGTCCAGACTATAGGTGTGTCTATACTCCAGACTAGAGATGTATCTATAGTCCAGACTATAAATGTGTCTATAATGCAGACTATAGATGTGTCTATAGTCCAGACTATAGATATGTCTATAGTCCCGACCATAGATGTGTCTATAGTCCAGACTGTAGATGTGTCCATAGACCAGACTGTAGATGTGTCTATAGCCCAGATTATAGATGTATCTATAGTCCAGACTATAGAAGTGTCTATAGTCCAGACTATAGACACTTCTATAGTCCAGACTATAGATGTGTCTATAGTCCAGACTATAGATGTGTCTATAGTCCAGACTATAGATGTGTCTATAGTCCAGACTATAGATGTGTCTATAGTCCAGACTATAGATGTGTCTATAGTCCAGACTATAGATGTGTCTATAGTCCAGACTATAGATGTGTCTATAGTCCAGACTATAGATGTGTCTATAGTCCAGACTATAGATGTGTCTATAGTCCAGACTATAGATGTGTCTATAGTCCAGACTATAGATGTGTCTTTAGTCCAGACTATAGATGTGTCTATAGTCCAGACTATAGATGTGTCTATAGTCCAGACTGTAGATGTGTCTATAGTCCAGACTATGGATGTGTCTATAGTCCAGACTATGGATGAGTCTATAGTCCAGACTATAGATGTGTCTGTAGTCCAGACTATAGATGTGTCTATAGGCCAGAATATAGATGTGTCTATAGTCCAGACTATGGATGTGTCTGTAGTCCAGACTATAGATGTGTCTATAGTCCAGACTATAGATGTGTCTATAGTCCAGACTATAGATGTGTCTATAGTCCAGACTATATGTGTGTCTATAGTCCAGACTATAAGTGTATCTATAGTCCAGACTATAAATGTGTCTATAGTTCAGACTATAGATGAGTCTATAGTCCAGACTATAGATGTGTCTATAGTCCAGACTATAGATGTGTCTATAGTCCAGACTATGGATGTGTCTATAGTCCAGACTATAGATGTGTCTATAGTCCAGACTATAGATGTGTCTATAGTCCAGACTATAGATGTGTCTATAGTCCAGACTATAGATGTGTCTATAGTCCAGACTATAGATGTGTCTATAGTCCAGTCTATAGATGTGTCTATAGTCCAGACTATAGATGTGTCTTTAGTCCAGACTATAGATGTGTCTATAGTATAGACTATAGATATGTCTATAGTATAGACTATAGATATGTCTATAGTCCAGACTATAGATGTGTCTATAGTCCTAACTATAGATGTGCTTATAGAGCAGACTATTAATTTGTCTATAGTCCAGACTATAGATGTGTCTATAGCCCAGACTATAGATGTGTCTATTGCCCAAACAATATATTTGTCTATAGTCCTGACTGAATATATATCTATAGTCCAGACGAGAGTCCCAAAGCAATCCTCAGCTGCTGAAAGTAATAAAATTCTCTTTAACAACCATTAACAAATTTAAATACATGCATGTTACAAAATTCTAAACGTTAAAAACTTACAATTTCCCCAAACTTCATTTTAAATTCTTCCCTTTTTTTCTAGTTTTGATTTGTACATGTCATTCAATATTTTGCGATTAAATTTTTGACACATTCAATCATATAAAATGAGGAAAATTTTACCATCATGTGGTGATGACAACAACTTGTTAATTTTAATTTTATAAATTATGTTGAGCTTTTCCTGCTAAAAACATGTCAGTTGAAATTTTGTTTATGTTCAAGGATTTCTCTATACATTTTTTTCCCCAATATAAATACGTGTGTGTGGGTATTTTATGGTTGTTTGTGTTTGTATCAATCAACATTTTATTTAATTTAAGATTTATATCAATTGTAACAACATTTTAACCGAATTACTGGCAGTTGTCATTATTTTTTGATCAATGTGATTGACTTAGTGTAAACATATACGGAAGTACATACATATGTATGTATTAGTATTATATGCAAATATATGATTGTTTGTATGATGTATTATTTTAGGATATAATTTTACTTTCAAATATTTTGTTTCCTTTAATTTTCCCCCCTTTTTTTGACATTTTCATTACAATTTGCTGTCGAATTTGTATGGTATTAAGGATTACTTTTGAAAAGGTCATAAAGTATATTTCATGGAAAATTTCTATTTGATTTCAATGTGATTTGGATTTTTTTCGCAACACAA